AATACTCGTTAGTCCCTCTGTGCCTCTGTGCTCCTGAGCTGAGCTGCTGGGCTGCTGTTGTGTTGCGTTCAGCAGGGAGCTCTTCCCCGCCCAGGGTGAGGGGTGAATCGGCGACCCCCGCCCAAGTGCCCAGCAGCCCGCAGCAGGCAGGCAGACGGAATCCCGCTTGGATCTGCATTGCCGGGTGGCAGAGCGTAGTGTTAGAACTGTCAGAACTTTGGATTTCAATAGAAAAGATCCAGCCAGCTTCTCCAGAGCTGACTTCCTGGCTCCTCATGCAGCCAGCCGTGCGGAGGCGGTCACGAGGGAGGCCACGGCACCGTGTTCATTCAGTGGAATATTAATGCCCAGCGCGACAGGTCTATTTCAATAAGTGGCGCTGTGAGGCTGAATTGAGCATGTGATATTTTCCCGCGGAGGCTGACAGCTTCGACTAGGGGACGAGAGCGCGCTCCTGTGCCGAAGTACGGTTAATTGCTGCAGCCTCCGCGAAGAAAAACAAGCCGAGAGATGGAGAGGAAGGCAAGGAGCCAGGCAGCGGACCTCTGCTGCCCACCCGCGGTCGTCCTCATCTCGGACAAGCCCTGACCGTGTCCTCCTGGAAAGCCAGGTGATTCCTGTCAAGACAGAGCTTGCTTTCTGTTCCCAGGGGGACCGGAACTTCTCTGGAATTGCTTGGAGTTGTTAGCAGAGAAATCTGCAGGTCGGGAACCCCTCCCACCCCCAGGTCACACCCTGGGACAAGGCCTTAGGACGGGTAGTTGTTCTGGAGGGTGACCTGGGGGGGAGGTACCGCCAAGGGGCGGGGCTCGGGAGGGACGGGGGCTGCCGCGGTGAGTGTGCGCCCCTGAGCAGTCACTGTCTGAGCAGTCGCTGTCGTAGCCCTGGGACTGAGCCTTGCTGCGCGCTGAGGGGAGCCTGAGGTCTCAGGGATGCCGCCCAGGGGCGAGGGAGCTGGGATTGGCCCCGTGCAGCCGGGTGGCTGCCATCCCTGCCCGACTGCGGCGCAGCTCCTCCCTCAGTGGCCAAGGTCCAGGCCAGAGGCGGCGCAGGGGGAAGCGGGCCAGGCTGTGCCCCAGGGGAAGGAGGGAGCCCCAGGCTCCGTGGGGTGACGGTTGGGGCTGGGCGCTGGAGGAGAGAGGGAGGGGTGTGATACCCTCCACGTTCACGTTCTGCCCCTCCCCCGAGCCTGTGCCACGGCTCCCCGAGAGAGCTCTGAGGACGGATGTGAAGTCATATTTTTCCCCCTGGCATTTTTTGGGAACACTTTCGGCTGCCAGCGACAGAAATCCTGGCATAAAGAAAGGCGGCGTCAGCTGCACTGCCCTCGTGCAGGGCTCCGTGGCAGCCCTGGTCTGTGCTGGCACGTCGCAGACCTGGTTCTTTCCTCCGGGCTGCCAGCTCCCTGCGGTTGTTGAGTTTTGTTCCCTGAGTCACTGTGCCTCCAGACTCTGGGATTAAGACAGGAGCCAGCGTGTCACACGCAGGCGTCCCTTGATGGGTCGGAGGAAAGATTAGGGTCACTGCCCAGCATCGGGCTGCTTGGCCACTGGAGGCCTGGCAAGGGGGAACTGAACTGCAGTCGTCAGGTGAGACCTTTGATTCTGAGTCTGGGTGACATTTGGTAATGGCTGGAGACTCCTTTGGCTGTCACAGCTGTTGGGGTGCTATTGGCACCCTCAGGGGTTCTGTGAAAAGTCCTGCAGTGCATGGGCCACCCCACCACTGATAATGATCTGGCTGAAAATCCCAATAGCTTGAGATCCCCATGACCCTGTTCCTGATGTGCTCAAGGTCACAATGGGAACGAACACTAGAGGCTGGACCAGTCGTGATGCATGGCCTAGACCAGCGGTGGCGAAGCTATGGCACACGTGCCGCAGCCAGCTGTTTATTATCATTGAAAGCTCTGAAAGGTTCGCCGTCGCTGGCCTAGATGGAGTGTGTTGCTGCCTTGAGTACGCAGAGGATGCTATGCAGGCAGCTTGCAGTGTTCAGCATGGTGGCTGATGGGCCCCCTGGCCAGAGCCCAAGCCCTGCTGTAGACGAGGCCGGGAGGAAAAGCCTGGCGGGGAGAGGAGGATGTGCTCGTCTCCTTGGGAGAAGGTGGGTGGGAGGGCATTGCAGAAGTTCTCTATTTTCTCTGAGAGGAATTGTAGAAAATATTAGTCATCAGTACAGTCAGCCCTCTGTATCCATAGAAAAAATACTGTTTAAAAATGTATCCGTCCTGAACATATACAAACCCCCCCCACCCCCGTGTCCTTGTTCCCTAAACAGCATAGCAACTGTTTGCATGCATTTGCATTGGACCAGGTATCCAAGTAGGCTAGAGATGATTTCAAGTCACAGGAGGGCTGCATGGGTTAAATGGAAATCCTGCAGTGTTTCGCATAAGAGATTTTACACCCTCAGATTCTGAGGTCCCAGGGGTCTTGGAGCCAGTCCCCTGTGGGTAGGAAGGAGGACATGCCCGTTGTTCATGGCTTAGAGGTTTCGTTCCAGCCATCTGTGTCACCCTTGACAGTCGCTTCATGAAGTGCGCACTGACTAACAGGAGAGCCCTCAGAACAGCCTCGCCCTTTGGGGTTTGTGTTTTCCGCAGCTCTGTGGAAAGCTAGGGCAGTGGGGACAGGGGTGCTACGCTTTGGACAGCGGTGCTACGCTTTGGACAGCCGCTGCCTTCGTTTCCGTTAGCATTTGAAAAATGTCGCTCTCAGGCAGCGTTCATTAAGATTTTCATTTTGCAATTTGTTCCTTTTCTTAAGTGACATGCAATTAATTAAGGTTTAATGTGTCATCTATTTTTTGCAGTGACATTTTTACTGCCCCCTTTTCATTGGAGTCCGTCTATAAATTGTACTCTGGCTAATGAGTTCCTCCTGATTTCTAGTTCCACATAATGAGCACTCTTCTCAGGTGCTGCTTTTAATGCATCACGGGATTGAGACCTGGAGCAGGGAGCGCAGGGGAGCCGGGGCTGCCTGGGCTGGGGCCGCCTCAGCTGGCAGGCAGGGAAGCGCCGAGCCCGCGCTGCCTGGCCCCGCAGTCATCAGCTGTCAAATGAAGATGCTGCGGCTGCTGCTGCTGCCGGTCCCGGGGGAGCTCAGCAGCGCCTTGATTGCCCTAGTTCTGTACATTGCTTTGCCGGTAGAGACATGACTAATGGCACTTAGAAGTCCCGGGTGATTTTTAACTGTATATGGGGCTGAGCTTGCACCAAGCTGAACTGCACGGCAGTTGTGTTCATTCCCACATCACCAGGTTGAGGTGGATGCTGATTTCACCAGGTTGGGTTGAAGCGGACGCTGCAGTATTCCAGGGTGCGGTGGGCAGGATGGGGAACCTCCCATGGGGCATGCTGAGTGCAGGGGAGATGGCGGGAACTCATCATCGGGTTGCCTCGAGAAAGACTGGCAGATACACGTGCTGAGAAGTTTGTGCTAAGGAATGGTCTTGAGCAGTTGTGGGATTAAGTCTAAAATTTGTAAAGTGGCTCTGTGGGTGGGAGTTGATGCTGATTTGAGGCAGAAGGTTTGCTTTTCCAGTCTGCTTAAGAAGGCAGGCAACTAAACAGACGCGGCCCACCCACATCTTGGAGAGTGGTCTTGACCTAAAGCCAGCTGGCAGTGCATGTTGACCACAGCGTCAGACCCTTCCAGGCCAGCACTGAGCTCAGTGTGTGATTAAACCACTGGGTACTGTCACCTCACCACACAGCCCAAAACCATCGTACCTGCCCTGCCAAGAGTGTGGGAAGTGCTTAGCTTGGGGCGGGGACCCAGGTCTGAGACCTCTCGTCTGCTTCCTGTGACCAGCTGAGCCTCCCTCTGCCCACCGTTCATTTGGTGCGGACCCTTTGTTAATGAAGCCCGTGCCTCTGGCTCTGAGAATTAGATGTATTGAGGAGAAAACATGAGTGGGGGGGGGCACCTGTCCTGCTAAAAGCCAGCAGCTCGATCCCCAGCCCCCGCACCCAGGTGAGCAGCAGGGGACCACATTCCCACAAAGCAGACACACCACAGTCCTCTGGGGAGCGACGGAGAGTAAATCTGTTTTGGTTTTATCACTGCCGAGACAAAATACCCGCCACCCAAAGTTAAAGGAATGAAGATTTATTTTGGCTTTCAGGTTGTAGAGATTTCAGTCCATAGTCCCCTGGCTCCAAGGCAGGGTGGCCTGGCAGCGGGGAACAGTCCATGGCAGGGCAGGCAGGAGACAGCAGAGCAGCGAAGTAGTGAAGAGCAGCAGCAGCCTCTTTCTGTCCCTTTGTGTTCTGTCCGGGCTGTAAGCCTGGTGGCTGGTGCCATTCACACCCAGGGTCACACCATTAATCCCAGCGTCACATACCCTAGATCCAGCCGCCTCTGAAAAGCCCAACTTGTGACTGCATGAGGCTGTGGGGGACATCCAGATACGAGCCGTAACAGATGGGGTCCAGGTGCTGTGCAGGTGATGTTTGCTGTTGGCCTTTCCAGAACCATCCCAGTGACATGACTCAAGGGATCTATGAGACACCTGTATGTCTAGCCATGTCTGTTGATGGAAAATCGTGGAATTTTATTCCTTTAAAAAACGTATATATATGTATGTGTTACATATATATGTATTTTGAGACAGGGTAGTTCAGGCTGGCCTTAAACTCACTATGTAGCCCAGGCTGGCCTCAAATTTGCAGCAATCCTCCTGCCTCAGCCAGGAGTGCTGAGATTGCAGGTATGCACCACCACGCTCAGCTAAAGATTCCATGAACAAGATACTGAGTTCAGGCAGGCCTCATTTGGGAAAGATAAACCATTAAACGGCGCACTTAAAAGGTGGATTGCGTAGTGACAGTAAACGCAGTGGTGGTCCCAGGGGCGGGCGGTTTTCCACCCTGGTGCCACAGGTCTAGGCCGAGGCCCCTGTGAGAGTTGGGAGGTTTTGCTTTGCTCCATTCTGCCTGCCGGAGTGGAGTCCTGGTCGCAGCCACCCACTCCCGTTTGTGCTTGGCTTCCCAGGGGCAGATGTCCACGCTCGGGACCCCAGCCGCGGGATGTCGTCGCAGGAGTGGGCTGCGTACACGGGCCGCGCGGAGGCTGTGCGCCTCATGCAGAGGCTGCTGGAGCGGCCCTGCCCGGAGCAGTTTGGTGACAAGTACAAGCCAGAGCTGCCGCCGGCGCCCGAGGCTGCCCTGAAGCCGGCGGGCTCCAAGAACTGCTGGCAGCGGGTCTCGGAGTTCTTGCGGTGCACGCTGCGCCCTCGCGCTAGCCAGGGCTTGGAGGATGGGGGCGCCCTGGACCACATGGTCAGGATGACCACGAGCCTCTACAGCCCGGCCGTGGCCATCGTGTGCCAGACTGTGTGCCCCGAGAACCCGCCCTGTGTGGGGAAGAGGCGCCTGGCGGTGCAGGAAATCCTGGCAGCCAAGGGGAACCAGGATGCCCCTGCCCAGGAGAGGGACAAGGTGGAGGCGGCCGAGCAGCGACTCCGGACCTCAGAGGCGCCGGGGGGCACCCGCCTCGCGTCTCCCCAGCGGCCAAAGGCCCCTGCCCCTGTCCCGCGGAAGGCCAGCCTCCTGCCTCTGCAGCTGCTGCGGCGCGGCAGCGTGCGGCCCGGCGTGGTGGTCCCCAGGGTGCGCATCAGCAAGGCGCCCGCGCCCACCTACCATCCGGAGCGCGCGGCCCGCAAGGGCAGCACCAAGGACAGCGCCCACCTGCAGATCCCCAAGTGGCGGTACAAGGAGGCCAAGGAGGAGAGGCGGCGGGCGGAGGAGGCGGAGAAGCAGCGCCTGGCCGAGGCGCAGGAGAGGCGGCCGCCGCCCTGGAGGAAAAGGACGTGAGGCGGCTGAGGCGCTCCGGGCGCTGAGGGGCGCAGAGGCGCGGGAGCTGCTGGCGCCCGTGTGAACCCTGCACCCTGCACCCGCAGGCCAGGTCTGCGCCCGGCTGGGACCTGTCCGCGGGGCCCCCGGGCAGCTGCTGCCCAGGAGGGACCGGGCCGCGCACCCCGCGTGTCTGGAACCAGTTCTGCAGCAATCCACGCACGAGCAGGGAGTTTATATAAGAGCCTCCTTTGAGAGAGGGTCAATTCACAGTTTTTTAAGCCAATTTATCAGAGGGCGTGTTTTGCACAGTTTTGTACTTTTCTTGTTACTTAGCAGATTTTCAGCATTTTACAAGGATTGGGGTTCTTTGTAGTTTTAATACACGTGCCCAAAACTCCTTTGTTTAAAATACTGTTTCTAGCCCTAAGAATGTGTGAACGCCACGCGGTTCACGCGGAATTCGTGGCGTTCACCCCGTTTTGCCGCTTGGTTTGGCCTTTGCTGTCCCAGCGCATTCTGGTTGCGCTTGTGTCCTGGATTTCCACTTCAGTTGGGTTAAGAGATGCTGAATGTATTTTCTCATTCGACGGAGGCATTGACTTACTACAAAGTAGTCAAGTGAGATGGATCTGAGTTCACTGTATTTTGTTTTTAAAACTCCCTTCCTCATATAGTAATTATGATGAAGAAAAACTGTCAAATCACTGTGAAGCAATGCATAAATATGCATTTACTACTAGAAGTAAACTCATTTTAAACACGGGGCTCTAGAGAAACTGGATATAAGATCTTTAACGTGAACACAAGCTAGAAGAGGAGAACTCTTGTTTAATAAGATGGGGTAAATTTAATAAATGATTACTAGAAATACAAAATTAAGTCTCATCGGCTCTGAGATAAGTCAAATCTGGATGTCCCTAAAAGACAGAAAAGGGTAAGGAATCTGGAAGAATGTGAACAGCCAAAATGGGCAGCCAGGAGCGTGATTTTTCTTTTTTTCTCTTTTTCTGCCTTTTCTTTCCTTTTTTCCTTTTCCTTTTCCTTTTCCTTTTCCTTTTCCTTTCTCTCTCTGTCTCTCTCTGTCTCTCTCTGTCTCTGTCTCTCTCTGTCTCTCTGTCTCTCTGTCTCTCTCTCTCTCTCTCTCCTTCTTCTAGGAAAACAGGTGATCAGCGCTGAGTTTTAGGCTTTTTTCAACCAAGTTCTCCTACTATGGATTTCAGGGCCTCTCTCCTGTCCTCAGGTCCAGCTCTAGAATTTCCAGGGCGTAGGGACTGTGGCAGTAGGGACGTGACCTTCCCAGGCCCCCAGGTGGTCTGAGGGGTTTTTCTCTTTATACTTTGATCTCCAAACCATTCAGCAGTGGGCCTTAGAGTAGCTGTCCCATATGCACTTTAAAAAAAAAAACCATACCCAGGGCTGCTCTCTCTGCCCTCCCATGTGGTGAGCGGGAGGTGACTGACGCAGACCCCTCGCCTGCCACCCCACCTCAGGCAGCACAGGAGGCCAGGCTCAGGGCTCTGCCACCAGTTTTTGTTTATTGTATGGGGATTGAACCCAGGGCCTTTGCACGGAGCTACATCCCCAGCCCTTTTAATTTTTTTAAAGACAATAAAAAATAAGTAAAAAACATTAAAAACAATACAGAATTTTGCAAGAAGATGATAGGAAATCCACAGTGGTTGTTATATTGCATATTGTTATCAGCCACGTGCACTTTCTAAAATATTTAATTTGAGGGGCCAGGGATGTAGCTCAGTGGAGCAGCGCCTGCCTGGCAAGTGCAGGGTGTGGACTTTGCTTCCTGGTAACACCCTTCCCCCGAATAAATTACTTACTTTGAACAGTTGGAACTCGTGGACTTTGTGTCGCAGGCTGATTCGGAAGCTCCCTGGCGCACAGTGGGAGGAGGAGGGGCTGTGGGGACGGCAGGTGAGCACACACCCAGCTCGCCTCACCGGGCCACAGGGACGTGGATCTGCCAGCAGAGGGGCTCCCGGCGGCCCGGGAGAGCTCGCCACGCCGCCGTTCTCACTTGCTCTTCTGTCCTTGCGCGGTCCTTTGGAGCAGGCACAGGAGGCCCGGTCAACTTAGGGGGTGTGGAGCGGGAGGTCGGAGGATGAGGGTGCGCTGGACGGGCTGGCCTCCCCGGCCTCTCCCCACGCAGGTAGGGACAGGCTTGCTGTCCCTCGCTGAGGGAGTGAGCAGGCTGGGCCGCTGTGGCGAGGTTGGAGGGGTGAGGTCCAACCTTGTGAGCTAGCCTATTCTCTTTTTTCTGCGCAGTACTGGGGAATAAACCCAGGGAGCCCCGAACCACACTCCCCTAAGAAAATGTTTTCTTTAATTCTGAGACAGGGTACCGCTGTGTCGTTCACCGGCCTCCAACTTGCCATCCTCTCGCCTCAGCCTCCTGGTAGCTGGGATTACCGGTGTGTGCCACCACACCGGGCTTGAACCAGTACGTTCCTAAGCAACGTTGGTTTGGTCTCTCTTTGGGTAAGGGATTCACAGGAGGAGATGTGGTCTTCTGGTCCGTGATTTGGTGGCTTCCTTCTGCGCCCTGCCCCAGACGGCGCATCTGCGCAGATGCCTGTGTTTTCCTTGCCGTGAGCAGCGGCCCCTCTCTCCCAGGTGGGGGCTGCCCTCTCTGCCCTCCCATGTGCTCAGGGGGAGGTGACCAATGGCGGCGACCCCTTCCTCTCCGGGGCTTTGTCACCACGTGTGTTCCCGGCCACCCTCAGCGCCTCTGCTCTGCCTCTGCCTCCTTTCCTGTCTCCTCCTCCACTAATTTTTTTTTGGTCTTTTTGATCAGGGTCTCGCTGTGCAGCTCAGGCCGGCCTGGAGCGCACTTCCTCCACCCGTTAGTCTCCGTGCGTCCCTTGCCCCAGCCATCTGAGCCCAGAATAAGGTGGAAGATCGAGGACCTCGCAGCCCCTGGACCTCGCCAGCCCGTGTGGGGTGCACAGGCTCTAGGAAGGGACCCCTCGGCTGCCACCCTGCTTCGGGCAGCACAGGAGGCCAGGCTCAGGGCTCCGCCACCAGCCCAGAGTTCCTGAGCTGTACACAGTGAACCCAAAGGGACAGGTTCCTTCTCAGGGGGTCACGTATAGGCGTGGCTAGCGGAAGTCCCGGTGCATTTCTCTACTTGTTAGTGTTGAGTGAATTGCAGTGAAACTTGACTGAAGAAGTCGTTGCAGGCTGACACCAGGCTGCTGGCTATGATCAAGATGCGGGGACTCTTCTGTCCTCGGTCCCTGGGCACTGCGGCCCCCACGGGGAAGGTGGCTGTGGGGTGGACGTGTAGTCACTTCTGTGCCCCTCCATTGCCTCCCCTGCCTGGGGTCCAACATTGGAGGTGGCTGTTGATGACACCGATGGACCAGCTGTCACCTTTCCCTCCAGAGCTGGGTCTGACACGAGGCTGCAGATGACAGAGAACGACATTTTTCTTTTCTTTTGCCATGCGCATGGAGTGTCCCCCATCAGCCCAGCCCAGGGTCCATCTGGAAGGAGCAGGGAGCGAGGGAGTGGCTGTCTGGGATGACGCCGGTGTACAGGGGCCATGCGGGGCTGCTCCACAGAAACACAGCCTGTGCCAGGGGTGACCTTGGGTGTCCTCGTCCCAAGCTGCCCATGGGCCCCCGGCATCGTCCAGTCCTGCAGAACAGGGAGCACGGGGCAGCATCTCACACTCCTCTGCACTTCGGGCACTCATCCCTCGGGGCAGGAAAGAGGGTCTGGCGTGTCAGCTGGAAGTTGGGATGGTGGGTGCAGAAGGGTTGAGGCAGAGGGGACCAGGTCGCTGGAGTAGAGGCGGGGTTGTTGTGGGTGACGCAGACACCAGGAAGGGGCCAGATGTCACAGCTGAAATGACACAAGGCTGGACGGGATGCAGCTGCATGCACTCCCCAAGCCCCCCGGAGACAAGCGGGTGACAGGACCTGGGCACCGTGTGCCCTGCCCTGTGCCGCAGTGAGCTCTCTCCCGCATACGTGGTGACAGCGAGAGGACCTCTGCGGATTCGCGTTGGCTTCAGCTTGCTCTCAGGAGGGGGTTGCCAGGCTCCTGTCCTCCACGGGGTGCGGGGTGGATTCCTGTCCTGGCCCTCGACGGACACAGTCCCAGCTGGAGCCAGGAGGCCACCTGCCGGCCAGGAACTCGTGTGCAGGGAAGGGCGGCAGACCGGGCAGGACAGAGCCTTACAAATTGGAGCAGCACCGCACGCTGGGACACGGGGGCGTCACAGGGGGGTGTTGCTCTGTCGCTGGCCACGCAGTGATCACAGGAAGACGAGCTCCTGACAGCGTCAACTGCTGTCCCCCTGGCCCTCGCCCCCGAGGCCCTTCGTGCCTTTTCTGTCTCAGCAGCTATCGAGTCAGCTCTTCGCTCCTGTGCCCGCTGGGTCACATTTCTTTGTTAGCATTTTAAATAAGTGGCTGAACAATTCCTCTGAGCTTTTTCTTTTAAAGAAACAGGGGAAAACGGCCCCTGGACAGGTTGGGCTGCTTCTCAGAGGCTGCGTGGATGCCAGGGCGCACACGCCCTGGCCCCGCGGGCAGGGCCGACCGTGTGCGCTGAGGGATGGGCGTGTGTGCGGCTGGCATGGGCCTTGCACACCCACACACGGAATGGAGACGGGACTCTTGCAAAGGTGGATGTGACTCTTTCGACAGCCCAAGGACCAAAGCGACAGATGTCATGGCTGGAGCCATGGTGACCCAGGCTTTCCACGCCAGAGCTCCTGATAAAGCTCAAGGTGCGTGGGGTCGGCGAGGTGTCCTTGTGTCACCTCCGAGGCCGCCCAGTGTCAGTCAAGACTGAGGGCAGGGAACGCAGGAAGGCGGCTGTCCAGGCGGCCACGGCTGACCTGCACCTGGTGAGGTCTGGGGGATCAGCAGCCGAGGGACCCAGTCACCGATTAGACGTCCTGGAAGCTGGTTTAGGACCCCACCAGACCGAGTGGTGCCCTTGATGGGAACGGTCACAGGAGATAGCACTCCCAGAAACACACCAGCAATCCTGAGAGACTCGGGGGCATCTTAAAGAATTCGAATCACATGCCCCAATCTAAAGAACAGTTCAAGTTAATCTTTCTGCAATTTTAGTTTAAATGAACTGGTATTTACTGCTTGTCCAACCATCGGGATTTTTGGTGACAGTGATTTTTTTGTTTTTGAGACAGGCTGGCCTTGAACTCAAGTTGATCCTCCTGCCTCAGCTTCCCGAGTGCTGGGATTACAGCGGTGCCACCATGCCCTGCCTTGACAGTGGTGACGTTCTGACAGCAGACTTGTGCCAGGGGACCAGGTTTCAAGTGCTGTCACCTTGACATAAGCTCTGTTTTGTGAACGTGAAGCGATTTCCACATCATTTCCAAAACTGTTGAACGTGGATATAACTGTCTGCCTTTCAGAGTGCTGTATTTTAAGGTGAGAGTTTTGTTATAGTGTATAAGAGGTATTTTCTCATTCAGACTTCAAGTTGATCTTGGGACCCACGAACACATGTCACCCCAGTGGCTTCAATTCTTTATATTCAAGAAGTTCTGGGGCTAGGGATATAGCTCAGTGGCATAAGCGCCTGCCTGGCAAGCACAAGGTAGTGAGTTCGATCCCTGGTACCGCAAAAAAAAAAAGGAGAAGAAGTTCCTAATCCTCAAGTTAAATGTCATATCATGCAACTGAAAGAATGTGTTTTTCCTTTTAAGTCTGACCGATTCTCATGTTTAAAAAATCTAGAAAAAGAGATATGATTATGTAAGAAGGTGGGGGAATTGTGGCAAAAGATCTAAAAGCCACCTCAAAACAAACACATCCAGACATATAAATGTGTGACACTTGAATAAACTGAAGTGTGTGTAAGTCACAAAGGTAATGAGGACATACACCAGTATTTTCATATCGTTTGTTTTAATTGAAGTGCCCTTTTTATTTCCACACACTTTCAATTAATTTTTCAAAGGTTAGGGTTTAAAATTTGTGAGTGACTTAGCAGGGCTTGGTAGTGCATGCCTGTAATCCCAGACTCGGGAGGCTGAGGCAGGGGGATTGCATGAGTTCAAGGCCAGCCTTGGCTATGCAGCAAGACCCTGTCTCAAAAAGACAAAAAAAAGTAAAAAAGAAAAGAAAGGAAAGGAAAAGAAAAGAAAAATCCCACAAAAACGTGTGAGATGCCCACGAATACTTTCTTGCCGGTTCGGGTGCTTTCTGGCCCTCTTCCCCAGGGTGCCCACAGGTGCCCAGCCCTGGGCAGGAGTTTTCTGTGCTTTCTCTACATAAACAGAACCATGGCTTTGTTTTCCTGTGTATTCTTTTACTTAAAAGATGTGTTCTGTTTTGTGCTTGCATACACCCTCTGGGAGCTTTTAAAACAATTTGAGAATTAGATTCTCTGTCCCTGTCTGTCTCTGTCTCTGTGTGTCTCTCTGTCGCTGTCTGTCTCTCTCCCTCTCCCCGCTCCCTCCCTTTCTCAGAACTGGGTGAAACCCAGTGCCGCTAGGCAGTGCTGTACCACTGAGCCCCACCCAGCCCTTTCGATTTCATGTTGAGACAGACTCCCTCCGGGTTCCCAGGGTGGCCTTAGTTAAAAATAACACACAGATAGAAGGGAGAACCCCAAACACCATCACAGGGTCTCAGACGACTTTAGCTTCTCCTGGGCAGTCCCTCTGACAGGTGCTTGTTCTTCCTGGAGAACTGATTTTTGCTTTTTGTTTTTTGTCTTTGGTTTTCATTTTTGGAGACAAGGTCTCACTATAGTCCAGGGTGGTCTTGAACTTGTGTCGATCCTCCTGCCTCAGCCTTCCGAGTGGTAGGATTACAGGTGTGCACCACTCACCTAGCAAGAGAACTATATTCTTAATGTTCTGTGCTGTCCTAAGAACAGGGTCGCCCGGACCTGTGGTTCCTTTTGCTCCTGTGTTGGGGGGCCTGTTAGATCCCCTCTGGGGCCTGCAAATGCTCCTCAGTGAGGGTGAACCCCGTTTCCTTCAGCCCCTCCTTGCAATGGGTGCTGAAAGTTTCTTTTGTTTTTATGCCCTACGGGTCACGGAGGTCCTTGTGTCTCCCTGTGTGTACCCAGAAACGAATCTTTCTACAAAGAGCACGCGCTTAGTTTTCCGCGGGGCGGCGTCGAGCGCAGCCACCAGCAGGGGGCGAGCGAGGTCCGGCGGGCGACGGCGAGCCGGGCTCGGGACGCATCCGGTGCCTGGAGCAGGCCCAGCACCCTGCGCGGGTTCGCCGCCTGTTCTCACCTCCCGCTTTATAAATATGATATTTCTATTTGCTTTTTTACTTGTCTTTGGTTAACTTTTCACCATCCTTTTGGTGACTTGTGAAAGGCTTGTTATGAATTTGGATCATAGTTCCTACCGTCCCTAGTGATTGTATTTTTTTCATATTTTATCACATATCCTTAGGATGGCTCATATAAAGTTTAAATTATGATTTAATCAAATTTGTCAAACTTAATTCTTTAATATATTTGCATTTCATATTCTTTTAAGAAAGCATTTTTAAAACCCCAAATCAACATTCTTTTCTTCTCTATTTTCCTCTAGTGCTTTATAGGTATTTTGCTTTTTTCTTTTTAGCTCAAAAAATTCTACTTAGAAACAGTTCATCGGGCTGGGGATATAGCTCAGTGGTATAAGTATCTGCCTGGCAAGTGCAAGGTCCTGAGTTCAATTCCCAGTACAGCAAAAACAAAAACAAACAAACAAAAAAACATGGTCCAGACACAGTTCATCATTTTTTTTTTTTTTTAAACAGGGTCTTACTATCCAGTTCAGCCTGGCCTCAAACTCACTACGTAGCCTAGGCTGGCCTCCACCCTCCTGCCTCAGCCTCCAAATGCTGGGATTATGGGGAGGCACCACCATGCCATTTCATTTTTTTCTTTCAGTATGAGGGGTTGAACCCAGGGTCTCCACACTGAGCTACATTCCCAGCACTTTTTTATTTTGAGACAGGGTCTCGCAAACCCATTGGGTTGCTCAGCTGGGCTTGAACTTGCCTCAGCCTCCTGCAGTGCTGGGATTACAGGTGTGCGCTACGCTTGGCTCTTCATTGAGGTTATTTTTGATCCAACAGGAAACAACTTGCTCCTATTTATTTGAGACGTTCTTTGAACTTAAAAAATATGAGATCCACTCCATTAAAAATCACGATTCTACATAATGATTAAGGAAGGACTTACGCAGAGAATAAACGTTTGAATACATCGCCACCTGGGGCAGAGGCCGACTGGAGCTCTTCCCTCCTCAGAGGCTGTGCCACAGCTTGGGCCGAGACAGCAAATGGTGGGTAGTGCACGTGGTGCCACCTAGGCCGGTGCCTGGGCAGGTGGAAGGCGCTTGGGGCAGGGCAGAGCCTGCGGCCCTCCTGCCCACACTGCGTGCTGTGTGCTGCTTTGTGGTGGCTGCGCCGCTGCTGTCCCGGGCCCGCCCCCGACCCAGCTGAGCTTTAGGAAGCTCTCCTGGCCCATACGATGAAAACCTGCCAGCCCCCTGTAAATCCACCTGGATGTTTCAAAAGCTTATTTTAAAGACCAGATAAACAAGCAATGGCTGCAAGGAGACCGCTTTCCCTTTTCATTGGCTTGTATTAGACAGAAGCTTTGGAGCTGGGTGAGAGGGTGCACGCCTGTAACACCACTCACTGGGGATGTCACCGCCTGTAGCACCATCCACTCAAGAGAGTGAGGCAGGAGGATCTCAGGTTTGAGACCTGCCTGGGCAACTTAGCACGGCCCTGTCTCAAAATAAAAAGGCCTGGGAACGTGACTTAGTGGCAGGGTGCTTGCTTAGCATTTCTGAGGTAATGGATTCAATCCCTGAGACTGCAAATTAAAAAAGGATGGAAAGAAGGAAGGAAGGGAAGAAGGAAGGGAGGGAGGAAAGACAGGAGAGCCAAGGAAGGGGCTTGTGGGTGCCCACAGCTAGCTGAGAATCCGGCTGGGGGCTGGGCTGTGGCGAGGAAGTTGTTACCCTATAGTGGAAGAGATCACAAAATGCCCTCTGGCCCCAGGTGAAGGAGCCGCTGGGGCTGGCCGCTGGGTGTCCGACACAAGCCCTGCCCTGGGGCAGCCCTGAGCCGCTCCTTACATCGGTCTGCCCCCACGTCCAGCGGAGGGAGGGTCCTCCTGACCGGGTCCTGCCTGCGGCCTCCTGAGCGACGAGGTCCTCCTGACTCAGGCGCCCGCGTCCTCTGTGGGCTACAGGGAGCAGTCAGAGGTGGTGAAGCCTGCAGGCGCCCGGGCCGAGCGGCCCCTTCCCAGCCCGCCCCAGACTGCTCCTGACCTTGCTGTCCTGAAAGCGGCGAGGAGGCGCGGCGACACCGTGCAGCTCTCCCCTTACTCTCCTGGCGACCCCTGCTTCCATATCCAGGGTGTGCCCGCGTAGGGTCTCCCGCCCGCAGCCCCACCGCAAAGCTGTCTCAGTGCCCGTGCTCGGGCCCCCGGGTTAATGGCGTTGGGCGGCAATGGCAGCTCGCTCCTTGGGCCGCCTCGCAGTCACGGAATCACAGCGGACCACGAGCAGCACTCGTTGAATCCACTGCGGGGCTTTGAGGACCAGGGACAGCGCCGCAGAAGGCAAGAGCAGCGCGGCCGGCGGTGGGCTTTCAGGACCGGGGACAGCGCGAAGAGAAGGCAAGACCAGGGACAGCGCGCAGAGAAGCAATGCCTGAGCCATCAGAGGGCTTTCAGGACCAGGGGCAGCACCCACACAGAAAGACAAGACCCGTGCCGTCAGTCCTGCTGTAGGGACCGTGGACAGCGCCCTCCAAAGATCCGCACTGTCAGCTTGGCTTTCAGGACCTGGGGTCAGCGCCCACAGAAGACAAAAGCCGGCACTGTCAGCGGTAGGCGCCCCCTCCAGACCTCCATCTTTCCAGTGGTGGGAGACTAGGCAGGGTTGGATCCACTGAGTCCGGAGCCTGGTGTGGCGCTCGGGGCCGGTCCCTGGGCCTGCACTGGACAGTGTCCCCTAACCTGACCTCCCACAGTCGGGCCCCATCAGCCTGGGAAGCGAGCCAGGCAGAGAGAAGTGCGCCTTCGCTGAGCGTGACAGCCCCACCACGGTGCGCGGTGAGCCCAGCCCTGACCGCTGACCCAGCCTGGTCCTTGGGGTCAGAGCACAGGAAGGAGAGTCCAGGCTGTCTCCGGAAATGGGAACCTGCAGCCAACAGCGACGCGGAGCTTTCTCTCTTCATCTACGGGCAGGTAGAGCTCGGGCTGCCTTCTTAAAGCAGCTTCTGAAGCATAGGAGGCTGCGGGAGACCAGGGCTGGGAAACGGATGTCATGTCCCGCTCACCCGCTGCTCACTGCCCACAGGCACCGTGCCTCTTCCCCCAAGACCCGGCGCAGAGGGAATGCCCTCCTGACTGCCAGAGGCGCCCAGGTGGCCCATGCGGCTCTTGGAGATCTGGGTCCTCATCTCTTTCCCAAAAGGATCACAGGTCTCCCTGGCGTCGGTCAGCCAAGCCGTGAGGTGTGTGGTGCACCCTAAGCCTGCTCTCAACCCTGGCAGCAGCAATGAAGGTGGGGCTCCTCCAGCTATGCCCAGGTTTGTGCTTTCCCGAGAAGGGCCTGGAGGATCAGTGGAGGCCACAGACCCCTCGATCACTGGGCGAGGATACAGATCCGCACCAGTAAGGGGCGGAGTGTGCAGGGCTAAGGATGCAGCACCCTCCCGCCGTCAGTGTGTGACAATCAGGGAGCGTGGGCATCTGCGGACATCACCAGAGCTGCCGTGTGCAGCACTCATGATTGAGAACTGGGTGACCCCCAAAGCCTCGTGCTCACGCATGGCAATTTTGGAGGGTGGTTGGGTTATGGGAGCTCGTAGCTGACTCGCTGTTAAAAGCGGCAGTCTCTGGGGTGAGGCCTTGAAGTGTTTTTCTCCCTCCCCAGCTCCTGCCTTCACCTCCACTTCTGTCCACCGTGTCCTGAGTAACTCTCCTGCACCTGGCCCGTCTGCCACTCTGTCCTGCCTTGGGGCCTCTGGCTAGGCACTGAGCCGTGAGCCAAGGGAAACCACTCCTCCTTTATGCTGTGGTATCGGGTGTTTTGTCCCAGCTGTGAGGAGAGAGACGGCTGCGACAGGGCTTTGCTCTGCAGGGCTACTGACTGCAGCGATTGACTCAGCCTCCAAGAAAATGCCTCGGACCCACCCAGCCCTCATGGCTGGTCTTTCTGGCGTGACCACTCCACCCTCAGGCCAGCAGACGTGCCCTAAGAACTGGTGTGGTCAACCACGACAAGGACAGGTCCACCAGGTGTGACACAGATGGGCTCCAAGAGCCACGGGCAAGGCCAGTCCTTCCCTTTCACCTGTCCCACGAGGTCCTCTCATTCCCTTGGGGAGTCCTTGCCACTGACCACATCCATGGTCGCACCGTGAGACCCGCGTAGAAAGCAGCAGAACCAGGAGCGGACTCAGCGTCCTGCTCTCTTGCTGTGACACAGGCGTCCCTGAAGGCCTGCTGGAGCTGCGGGAGGGGCGGTGGTTGCAGAGGCACTGCCCTGCCCGCCTGCTCCCCTCGAGCTCAGTCTCTGGATGGATGATACAGCCGCGCGGAGCGTCTCTGTTGCCCAGAACATGGTTGGCAGCTGAGCATGAGGAAGAACGGTCACTGCACAGGTAAAAAACCTGGCCTGCTCCTCCTTGGCTGCTACCTCTGCTGCTCCAACCTCACCGCACCCAGAGCAGCTGTAGTGCCCTGCCCTATTCCAGAGGACCTGCCCCATGTGGCCGCCATGAGCAGGGGACCCAGCACGACTCAGGCCAGCCTCACAGGCGGCGTGATCACTGTCACCGTGGCCGCCATCAGTTTGTGACTGCACAGTCCTAGCACACAGTGTGGCCAGGCACACCGTGACTTTGCAACACAGAGCCCATCCTCATTCTTTTTCATGGATGGGGAAGCTGGGGCAGAGGGCCATAATCCGAAGCACGGTCTTGGTGTGAGGGAGCAGAGGTGCTAAGGTGCAACCTAGCGTGTTCAGCATTAAAGCTGGTGCTCCAGGCTTCTCTGCGGTCATCAAGAAAATGTGACTTAAATGCGTAAGTGTTCATGTTTCTTTCAGCAAAGCCCAGAAGGCAGGCAGGGCCGTCACAGTGCTGGGGCTGTAACCAAGGACCCAGGCTCTTATTATTCTGTTCAGTACAACTATAACAAGAGCTTCCATACTTCTTTGCCTCATGGTCCAAGCTGGCTGCTGGAGGACAAGCCATCACCCCTGCTTTACAGGTAAAACGATATGGTGTGCCCTGCTCTTCACAGAGTGGTGGTGAAAGCATAGTATTTCGTGCCAGCCAGGTCAGTCTTAGCTTTGTCACCTCCTAGCTATGTGAATCAAGTACACTATGCCATTTTGCTTTACTACACTTTAGTTTCTTTATCTGCAAAATAATAATCGTGACCATGCCTACCAGGTGGGGCCGCTGTGAGTGCCTGGCACACAGTGCGTGCCCAGTAGATGCGGGAGGAGGGTGATCATGTGCTGCTGCAGCTGGCAGTGATGACCAGGACGGCGATGATGGTTTGGTGGCTGTGACGGTAGGGTACGATGCTGACGGTAGGGTCGCAGGTGCTCTCCCATTGCGGGGATACAATGCCTGACACAGTTTGAAGGAGGAGAGGTTTAAACCTGGCTCACGGTTTTGGCATTTCAGTTCAGTGTGCTGGCTTAAGGTAGGAGGGCAGAGTGGGAGGGTCTGGGGGCGGAGAGCTGCTCACCGTGTGAACAGGAAGCAGAGAGGGAAGGGAGGGGCTGTCCCGGCCATGTCCCACCCACCTCTTCCTCAAGCCACGCCCAGATCCGCCCCTTCCCCCAGGCCACGCCCCATCTCTTCCCCCAGGCTCCGCCTCCTGACCGGCAGTCCCGTAGGAACTCATGTTGGATCAACTCTCGCCTCGCGGGTTAGAACAGCGCTCCAGGACCCGGTCACCTTCCCACAGCGCCACCCGGGCATACGAGGCTTTGGAGGCCGACTGTGGCTCTAACTGCTCACAGTGCCTGGGGTGATAACGGAGAAGGTATTTAAGCCCAGAGTCACCTCCTTCCGTGTCTTTGTGATTAATGAGAGACAGGATAACTCGCTGCATCTGTACGGTTTGAAGAAAATAAACAAATGTCCATTTATCATTATCTCATTATGATCAGGTTATCTAATTGTCCTTGAAGACAGTGCTTGTTTAGGAAATGAATGGGAGCTCTCTTAGATACCCTAACAGTTTCGTGCCTGCAAGGTGAGTCTCTGGCTTGGCGCATAAGGTTTTTGGAAATTTTTTTATGCTAACAGCATCTATGCAGGTAGTGAAACAATTTAACCTGTCAATTTGAAAAGCGAGTGTGGAGGCAGGAAGATGTCAGCTGTGAAAGCCAAACGTCACACATCCGGGGCTCCATGAGAACCTTTGGCGGGCAGCGCCTCAGGGCTTTTCCGGGGCACACGTGGGCACAGCAAGCCAGTCAGGATGGCTTTCCCCCGTGCCGGCAGTTCTTAGGTCTTCAGTTATTTGTTGTTGGTGATTGTTGCTTAGGGATCCTTCCTACTTTGGCTTGTTTTTTGAGATAAGGTCTTGGTACGTACTCCAGGCTGGCCTCAAACTCACTGTGTCCCCAGGCTGCTCTTGAACTTGTGGTGATCCTCCTGCCTCAGCCTCCTGAGTGCGGGGAATACAGGCATGTGCCACCATGTTCTGCTGTCCTTTCTACTTTTAAGGCCTGTGTTCTCAGCTCAGTTTACTTTATGGGAGGAGGTGTGTCTCAGGATGTGACCACTGGCCACTGTCCCTCCAGGTGAGGATAGAGTTGTCCTTGGTGTGGAGGGTAGAGAGTCAGCCAGGGGAAGGGGTAGAAGCTGCGGCCATAGCTCTGGCCCTGCAGGCAGCTTGGCCTGCACTCTCCGCTCAGCCCATTCTGCATGCATCTTCCTCAGCCCTGTCGCTTGGCCACGCATCCTGGTAGCTGAGGTCCAGCAGCCCAAGGTGCACGTGGTCCACCAGGGCAAACAGACTGCTGAACTGGGAAGGAGGTTTCCAGACAGTTCTTGGAAAAAATGTAACTAGCTGAACCCAGAGCCCAGCCCTCGTTCTGGCGGCCCTTGTGTAGGAGACACTGAGGAACCCTGACCTCGCTCTCCAAGTTGGTGTCTGGGAAAACATTGGCTTCGGTCAAATTCTCCGTTGCATCCAGGATCAAATCTGCACCACAGCAGGTTTCTCTCTTCTCTGGGCTCTGAAAACACACACGGGCTTGGGATACACTAGCTGTGCACACTAAACATGCATCCTCATGCGGATGTGGATGCTGTTTCCAAGGACACAGCTCAGGAATGCTGGCCTTTGGATGCCTAGGCCACGGACTTGTAGGGTGGTGATTTTGTCATCTGTGAGTATCACAGCCACGTGGTCTGTCACTCTCAGCATGGCTGGCATTTGGCTGGGGTCCTTCCCTGGGTAGGGGACTGCCCTAAGCATGGGAAGATGTTCGACAGTGTCCGGGCCTCTTCTCACAAGATGCCCCCAACTAGACCCTGCTCCTGGCTGTGATAACCAAAGCCATCTCCAGAGTGCCAGATATGGTAGCACAAGCCTGCAGTCCCTGCACTCCAGAGGCCGAGGCAGGAGGATCACCAGCAGCTCTGGGCCAGGCTAAACTATATAGTGAGACCCTGTCTCCAAGCAAAGAAACACAAACAGCCCTATCTCTAGGTAGTGCCACTTGTTCTCCAGGGGTGACACTTCTGCAGTGGTGACCAGAGCACTAGGGATCGTGAGATGGACATCAGTTCTCTAAGCACATTCTCAGTTCTCATCTGTGACAGTGACACATGCAGTCTCTGGGAATTCGCAGGGAACTGTGCCATACACTATGAAACCTTGGCTCCGCCTGGTGGGTGACCACAGCTGCAGAACCACAGAATGAGATCAAAAGCTCGCTAGGGCTTCTGATGGAGCCCCCAACCCTCAAGCTACATCAGGCCGATCCAGCAGACAATGTTGGATCTTTTCCAGTTGACAAATTGGGTTTTTCGGAAAGCACAGCAGTTGGATTTATAATAATGTTTAGGGTTCAAGGGGAGAAGGATGGAAGAATTTTCTGTGGTTGTGAAGGTCCTTGATTGCATCTTCGGAATCTGAAGAGGTGTGAGGATGTGCAGACGTCTCACCTGAGGGATCGGAGCCCAGGGGCAGGAGGAAGAGGAGCCTCAGCAGCTGCACCTGTTGCAGGCCGACTGAGCTCCAGCCGCTCACACCTTGTCCTGGACACATCTGCAGGTGGTGACTTTCTCACAGTATGCTTTTGAAAAGCAGTTTACTAGCTGGGCATGGTGGTACACACCTATAATCCCAGCACTCAGGAGGCTGAGGCAGGAGGAGGCTGAGGCAGGGAGTCTGAGGCCAGCCTGGGCCATATAGTGAGTTCAAGGGCAGCCTGAACTACAGAGTGAGACCCTGTGTCAAAAAAAATAAAAACAAACAACAAAAAAGCAAAGCAATTTATGAAGCAAATCAACAGTTCATCAAGGGGTGCCAGCTGGGAGTGAGTTGCTGGCCCTTTGGCCCTGACAGATGACCTGGGTTGATAGTGTCCTGCACAGGACGCCTCCTTCGGGAATGGCTTTGGCAGGTGAGATTAGTGAAGGCGCTGCACTGGCTGGGTCCAAGCCTAACATCTGGGGTCCTCAGGATGTGGACAGACATGGAGGGAGACGGCCTGGTGGCTGCAGAGTCCAAGGTTGGACCTTTGCTGCCACGAGCCAGGTTAAGGTAGTGTGGAAGCAGCCAGCTGTGAGGGGTGGGCACAGCCCCTGGCGCCTGTAGGAGGGGCCCAGGGACACCTTGACTCCATGCTTCTGACCCAGAACCAGGGAGGGCACACAGTGGTTTTTCAAAGCCACACAGTCTAGGGGACTTTGTGATGCCTGCAGTAGGAGACCAGTGTGGGTGACGGTGGATTTGCCTGGTCCTCTGCTGTGTCTTCATCCACCATAGATACCTGCTGAGACTGCCCTGGCCGGACAAAATGGGCAGGACCCTCGCTGCTGCCCCCACTTGAACACAGGGGACAGGACACATGGGTACAGACAGCAGGGGCCAGCTGGAGGCTGAGGAAAGGCTGAGGCTGTCGGGAGCTGCTGAGCTGGGTGACAGCCACACCCACGCTCGGCCCTCCCTGACACCCGTGGGCCTCCTACTGTGGACCCGGATTTGCTTCTGGGCCTCTAGGTTCCACAGCTGTGACCATTTCTTGTCTTCCTCCCAAGGGCTGCAGGAGATCTGATGCGGGCGAATGTCTTTCACATCGGGTGGCACTCCCCCTCCCAGCCGACTGCTAATAATTCTCTCTGCATCTGTTCCCAGAGGGTCCACCTAGCACTGGGCCAGCTGCTTGGCCACGGGACGTGTTTCCATCAGCTGTATTAAGCTTTTGTGTTTTCTGACAATCTCAGTAGATGACCGTGCTCCAGTTGCCAGGTGTCCAACAGTTCAACTTTGTGTCTGGGAAACGATTTGTGTAAATATCCACCACGCACGCATGTTTGTGTTCCTACCGAAACCATCTGGCAGCCCTATTAAAATGTAAACGGGAACCTCTGCAATGTAAGAAAACAAACCCCGAGAAGGGACACACGGGCTTTATTAGAATCTCGATTATTCTTGAAGTCAACCATTGAGAAACTCACTCCAGAAGAATCTGTGCATTCTAGCCCAGAAAAGACACAGGCTGGGCCTCTGAGGGCGAGCTGACCCCTGGCTGCAGAGCTGCAGGGACCCAGGATGGTTCTGCTTCCTGTGGCGGAGGTGACCAGGCCCTGCCAGAGTTGGTCCTTTCCTTTCTTCATCTACTTTCCCTGCAGCACTGCCGGCCAAGCCCAGGGCCCCAGGCCGCTTCACACCAGGTCTTGTAATCAGGAAATGCGAGATCAACAACCCACTGGCCTCCTGTGAGTCAGTTCCCTGGAAATCCTTTAAGTACCCCTTAGGAGATTCCTCCTGGGTGGGGAGGCAGGACCTGGAGCAGGGGCCAGGCAGCTGTCAGATGCACACAGTACCGCTGTGACCCACCCAGAATCTGCTACTGGCTGAGGGACAGTCGGGCTCCCCGGCTCTGAGCAGTGCTGTGAGGGCCCTAGGGACTGAAGGAGGCCGTTGTTGGCTTTTCAGCCAAGCCATGTGCGCTGCATCCAGAGAGCCTGTCACCCCCGCCCAAGGCAGGAGACGCGAGCGGGAGTCACCGGGTGGCTGGCTGGGGCGCACACACACCGGGAGGACTCGGGGCAGTGACCACAAGAAGGGCCTTTGGGGCAAGTGGACGGTGGTGTTTAATTCCGCCATCTTTTCACGATTCAACTCTCTCACCCAAGGGTTCAGGAATTAGTGTCTCTTCCTCCATCTCAAGGAAGACAGTCACTTCCTGAGTCCAAAAGGGCTCTAGAGGGGTGAGGGGGATGCACAGCCGGCCTGGCTGGGCCCTCGGGGCGAGGGCCAGTCACAGGCGGGAGGGGCTGTGTGCCCTGTGTCCGGCTCATCCCGAGCACTTGTCCTGCGTCCCTTGCCACACCGGGGGGATGTGCAGTCCCCTGGGCCCGTCTGGAGGCCGCATGTGAACCCTGCCACCTCTGCCCCGTATTTCTTACTCTCTTGGAGGCATGCGACAACTGTGCTGCCCTCAGCTCCCGTCTCCTCAGTGTGCACCCTGGGGTTTGGGGGCCGCAGCGACTGCTGAGACAGAATTCAAGCTACCGTGTGAAAGGCTGCTTTTTAATTAGGTCTTGGCAACTTGCTAATGGCACTTCTGGACGTACAATGACCCTGCAGCGGCGCTCCCACAAAGCTGGGGGTTTGAGCCGTTTCTAGTTTGAAACTGCAAATACAAGACAGAGGCAGGAGGCTTTGCTTGGCCTTAGCCCCCGCAACAAGCCGTTTTCCGAGGACGGGGCCGGCTTTGTCCTGCAGTGTGAACGGGGGCGACCAGGCGCTGCTGCAGGGAGCCGGGGTCCTAGTGACTCCAGGTCACTTGCGAGGCTGCTGGATGTTCTGGGGCCGCGGGGACGGGTGCTTGTCTATGGAGGCGTGGGGCTTCTGGTGAGCCACCTGTGCGGCCGCTGGGGGGAAGTCCTTGTCACCCTGTGAGGAGACAGGAACGCACAGGCCGGTTACTCGTGAGCGAATCCATCAGTGGGGTGGGAGCCCCAGTCCCAGGGTCCCAGCTTTCTGCAGGATGGACAGGGGCTGCAAGCGGGTGACGGGCAGCAGGCCTGTTGTCAGCAAGAAGCCGGTGGCTGTGGGGTCCTGAGGCCATCATAGCAGGGAGCTACAGGTGGAGGAGCCCATATGCCACAGGATGGGTGATGCTCACGGCTCTGCCCACGTGATGAGACTCGGGTGCCATACGACAAACCTGGCATCAAGTTGGGTGTGGGAGGCTGTGCCATGCTAGGGCTGCTTTTCTGGTCATTTGAACTGGGGCGAGGCAGGACCTAATGCGGAGTCTCAAATATGGATGTGTCAGCCAGACTGGGCGCTGCCAGGGTGCCGAGGCACAGGTCGAGCTGAAAGTGATTTGCCTCGTTCCAGAGAAGGTGTCTGGCTGTGCTTGGCGGGGGTCCAGCTGGCTTCTTGTGGCCATGGTGGGGGTGACACGCTGGGACAGGCTGGAGCCTGGCGTGCGCAGTGGAGCTCACCGTGCTGCCCTGAACGGTCACACATGGCTGCAGCCACAACTGTCCCAGGCTCTCAGGGTGGCGGTGGCCACAGCTCCTTCAGCGGAGCTGTCCCTAGCAATGGCATTCCCTTCAGACACCAGGTAAGGACTTGCACATGCGGAGGGGCACAGCCTGGGTGGTGTCACAGAGGGGGCGGGGCGTTAGGAGAGGCCAGGCTTTCCCACGAGTTTCTTAGAAGACAGCGGTGTGAGCAAAATGTCAGCTTAGCCCAGGGACCCGCAAAGGAAGCAGCTACAGGGGAGACATCAGGGAGTGCTGAGTGACCCCAACTTTGTTCATGGGTGCTAGATTCATATTTAATGCTTGTGTGCTGTGACATATAGCTGTTATGCTGATTTTCTCAATCATTTAAAAATGTGGAAACCTTTCCGCTCAGGCCCCTTAGATGCCTGGCCCCAGGACATAGTCTGCCAGGGCTGGTGGAGCCCGCACGGGGGACAGGAACACTGGCCAGGGGTCCTGTACCGCTGGACCTGCCTGGTTGTGGGCTCTGCACTTCCTAACTACAGAGGCCGGGACGAGGGCCCGTGCACTGTGGGTGCGAAGAGGTGACAGCTCTTACCCGGGCGATGACACCGGAGATGAACACGGTCGGCTTGGGTGGGCTGGAAAACAAGAGAGAGGCGGGTTGAACAGAAATGTCCCAGAAGGGGGCTGGGGATTTAGCTCAGCGGCACAGCGCCTGCCTGGCAAGCGCAAGGTCGTCAGTTCGATTCCCGGTACCGGAGAAAAAAAAAAAAAAAAAAAAAAAAAAAAAGAAACGTCCCAGAAGGGGACAGGGAGGCGGCGACTGCGTGAAGGTGGGTGAGGCTGGGTTTGGGGTGTACGACCAACAAAGGTGGTTTCGCTCACTCCCAGGAGGAGAACGGAGGAATGAGGGAGCAGACCTCTTCCTCTGCTAGCTTTTTCACAACCACCAGGCCGGCAGGTCCAGGGTCCCTTTCTCCTGAGGTTTGTCTGGGCAGGTGGCAAACAGCTGGCAAACTGCCTAAGAGCACCTTCCGTTTGCTTCCTGGTGGACCCCCGAATTTCCATGGTGGGCAAGCCCAGACAGAACCGAAAGGAAGTAAGCGCTTCCCTGAGGCTGGGCGGAAGCTGCTCCACGCTGGGATGAACTTCCTGCCTTATCCAGCAAGGGTTTGCCCTTCCACGGCCCCCAGAGCCCATGGCTTCCAGCAGCTTCTACTGGGGAGACCTCAGAGCCAGCACAGACCCTGGCTGGCCCCTGCAGCCCAGGTATTATAAACGTAAGGCCCTTGGGAAGCTATTGCATCTTCAGTGGTACCCAAAGCGTCACAGAGTGGAGGAGGTAGATTGTTCACCCACAGGAGAACACGCTACCATCACAGATGTGTGACTGCCTTGGGCTAAGCACTGTTCACTCTTCTTCCAGTCTTTGCACGGATGCCGCATGCGCTCCTCTTACACAGATGCTGCTGCTGCTCTGTGATGGGCTCTCGGAACTGGACCGCGGGGGCATCCCGCATTCTCACGTGCCCTGTGTGTGTGTCTGGATGCAGCCTGTCACACAGCTTAAACATCTGGCTGCGGGGGCTCGGGGAAGAAGTACACAGATGTGAGCCCCTGAAACACCTCTGGCACAGGCAAGCAGGCCCGGCCAGGAGGTGGTCGCCAGCTCCCAGCCCAGCTGGGGGGCCTGGGGGCAGAACACCCTCCCAGCCCGCCGCCCACTGCTCTGCTGCCAGGATCCTTTGAGAACCGCTTATCTTAGCTCCACCCTGCTGCAGGCAAGTGCCCCGTACTCAGAAAGATCTCCGGCAGCTCACAGCTCCAGGCGCTCGAAATCCCCCAAGTAACTTTTGTTACTCCAGGAGAAGGAGCTTCAGTCTTACTAAGCAGCACAGAAACACAAGCCCCGCACTACGCGGCTGTCATCGCATGTGTACTGTGCGGTTAACTGGGGGAACCTTTTCTTCCTTTCTGCGTGTGACTTAACTGCAGGATCAGCCAGAGGGGAGTAAGTGCGCTCCAGTTTGAGGCCTCCTTCGCACAGTGAGGGAGTCAGGACGCGGTGGAGTGGGTGTATTGATTATTCCAGCCGAGGTCACCGGAGGACCTGTGACTGCAGGAGGGTCACTCGCCTGTCTCTTCCTACAGGTGCAAGCGTAAATATGCTTTAGGGAGGGCTGTCCTCCTCGGACTGGCATCTGCTGACTGGGGCAGACAAGCTCACCAAGTGACCTCAGCTTCCAATGACTCTCACCCCTGTATCTCCTAATGACATCCCCAGACTCTGCCACCCTAGTCTGCAGACCTGCGCACCCCGTCCTTCTTCAGATCGCTTGTTCTGTGGCTACGCAGTGCAGAAGCATCTTGCTTTGCTTGTTTCTTCAGACGGTGCCCTCACGTGGCGAGCTCTAAAAGCACACAGATTAATGAGACACGCAAGCTCTTCTCTTGTTAATCGGCCCTGTGACCCAGCCAAAGAGCCCACACGAGGACTACAGGAGCGTCGGGTCTCACTGAACCCCTGTCCCAGCCTGCAGGACCGCCAGTGTTGCCATGGGGGCTGGGTGTGTGGGCTGCACCCAAGCTGGGGCTGCGGCTGGATCCTGACGCTCACCAGCACATGGGGAAGGAACATGGACAAGGCAGCGCACGTCCTTTCGGTTATCGTGAATGTCCTCAGCACGGAAGGACGCAAGGGCAGCTCCATCTGACAAGGAGTCAGCGTCACCTTCCGTGAAGGCACACCACCTCGCTGTGTGCTGAGCGCACCACTGCTTCTGTCCACTCTATTTTTTATGTTTTCTGGCCTGAGAGGGAAGGCTCGAAAGAGCAGGAATGTAGGAGCCCCACCCTGTCCCACGCCCTCCGTGAGAACGTCCTGCGCAGAGGTCAGTCTGGTACGAGTGAGCCCGCGGCCCTATGGGAAGCGCGGCTGATACACACACTGTGTCCATGCATGTGAACACGGCTGAAAGGCGGACAAGTGAAAGGTTAAAATCGCTGTAGCTCTGTTACCGCTGATGCGCGTGTACACAGACACACAGACGGACACACACAGGCAGAACTGCTTCGCAAGCAGCCGCACCCTGAGCAGCAGAGTCCTCTCGGAGCGCAGTGATGGCCAACCCTGGGGACACTGGCCACCAGCCCCCAGTAGCCTCAGCGTTCAGCGTCCCCGGGACGGCCCTGCCCACCAAGTGCTGGAAACGAGGCCATCAGGAGGGTGCTGGGCATTACCCTTGGCCATGCATGCCCTCCGTGAGCCTCTCCCGGACCACAGGCTTGGCCGCTTCTGTTCCAGCTGGGGCTCCAGGTGGCTCCGGAGCCCGGCAAGGCAGGTGGGGCCCTGTGCCTTCCCTCTGCCGCTTGGGAGGTGCAGGTGACTTCTGGCAAGTGGTCACAGCAACCCGGCCCCACCAGCCCGGCCCTGCCTGAGGGCGGCTTGGCACCAGCTGTCTCTTCTGGCTCCATCTTTAGCGTCCCACTGCTCCAGAGCCTCTCAGGGAGCCGGTCCCATTGCAAACCTGAACGCCACCGGGCTGGGGGGATGACACCCTCCTCCCCAGCCTGGCTCACAGGGGCTGTGGTCGGATTCCGGGACCCACCGGGGGCACGGGGGACGGTACTCTGCTGGCCACCCTGACCCTACGGGCCACCACCATGTGGGGAGAAGTCACTCCATCTGCTGGGTCTCAGCTGCTGTGGGCTCCGCTCATAAATGGACAGCGATCACCGTAACGCAGCTGGCTCTGAACGGACCATCGGGGTACGGGGCCGAGGGTGCTGCTCAGAAACCAGCACCGGTGGTAAGTGTGCTCAGACTGGCTGTGAGGCACCGGGTGGGGCGCCGGGGGTATTACGCCCACAGGCGACGTGCCGCTTCTCCACTGGGGAAGGAGGGAGTGGATGACAGTGTCCTGCAGCAGTGGCTCCTGCTGGGTGCGGACAGCCCTTTCCAAAGGAATCTGAGAATGGTAAATATTAGGAGCCACAGAAGTAAATATTAAATTTTTATATTGAATTAGCATTAAATATTTAAAAAAATAAGTAAATACTAAAACATGAAGAAGCGAAAGTCCAAGGGTCGTCTTTTCACCATCCCGGGTCCGTGTCTTCAAATGCACGCCTTGCACGCCAGTGCACATCCACGCTGCACACCCAGTGCCGGTGCCGTGCCCTGATGCCCGCCTGGACCTCCCACAAGGCTGTGCCCACGGCCCGCAGGGGGCCACGCTCAGTGCTGCCCCGTGTTCCAGGTGCCCTGGCCCAGGGCACGGCCGTGGCCACACCCACCCTGCGACCATTTGAGTGGCTGCCACGACCTGGGGTCCGCGGCCCCAGTGGAGTGCCTCTGCCTTGTGCACGCCTTGGAGGGCTGACTCCAGCCCAGCAGTGGGGGCGGTGACCACAGCGCAGCCCCAAGCTTGAGGCACAACCCAAGCTACGCATCTGGGCTAGGGCTGAGGCCTCAGGGACTGCAGCCTGTGTGTCTGCCTCTGGGTGGCTCTGCTTGGTGCTCTAAGAAGCAAGGAATGGAGGCAATGAGGACACACGCCGAGGACGCGGCAGGTCGGCAGGGAGGGCCCTGCTTTCCACAGTCCGTTTTTTTGGTGTGTTTTTGAGACAGGGGCTCGCTGTGCAGTTCAGGCTGGCCTTCAGGTCACTCTGTAGTCCAGGCTGGTCTCAAACTCGCAATGCTCCTTCTGCCTCAGCCTCCCGAGTGCTGGGATTACAGGCGTGCACCACCTCACCCTGCTTCCATAGTTCTTAAAGCAAAACAAAGCAAGCACTGCATACATGTGTGAAGCCTTTTAGCCAGAAGAGGGGCACTGCCAGCGCTGGCGGAGGTCTGCTGCTTGCTGCCAGTTCCAGGAAACTCCAGAAACGTCCCATGCCTTCGAAGTTTGTCAAGGAACTCATCGAGCTCAGCAATCAGCTCAACAAAAATGTACCGCCTGACCATTTCTGGTACACTCCAGGGGTGTGGAGAACGTCCATGACGTTTTCTCTGTGCCCAGGGCGCTCACTGCCAGCGACCTCTGTCTCCGTGAGGGTCCTGACCCCTACTGCCCGCCCTGCAGTCCCTGTACTACTCTCGCTCCGAGCTGGACTCCCTGGTGGGACAGACAGCACCTGTGCTGTGTGCCTGGTCTGCTCCATCCGGGACAGTGACTGCCAGGCCCCTCCAAGGTGGAGCACGTGTCCACATTTCACTCTGATACATGATATTCCAAGGCACGCGTGCACACACATGTACGTGTGCACACATGCACACACACACATTTTGCGTATTCACAGACACGTGTGTTTCCACCCACTGGGCACTGTGAATAAGGTAGCTGTGAACACAGTACCCGAATGCTGGTTTAATATCTTCCCCTCTATTCCTTTTGTGCGTACATGCAGAAGGGAACTGCTAGGTCCTCTGGGAATTCTGCTGGATCCGATGGGAAGGCTCTGCTTAGGTTTTTTTTATTTTAATGGTGTTGGGAATTGAACCTGGGCCTCACCCAAAGATCCTACCATGGAGCTATACTTCCAGTCCTGCTTCCTTTGCAGTGCTATGGGTTGAACCCAAGGCCTTGGTACTGCAATACTTCTCCAAACCCCTGTACCCTTTTATTTGAGACTGGGG